CACTGTATGGATGTACCATTGCTTATCCATTTACCTACCAAAGAGCCTCTTGCTTGCTCCAGTCCTTTGTAATTATAAATAAAGCTGCTATAAACATTCACATGCAGGTTTTTCTGTGGCATAACTTTCAAGTCAGTTGGGCAAAAATACCTAGGAGCACAACTGCTATGTTGCATAATAAGATTACATTTAGCTTTTTAAGAAACTGACAAAGAGTCTTCCAAAGCGGCTGTACCATTTTTGCATTCTCACCAGCAATGGATGAGAATTTCTGTGGTTCCATATCTTTGCCAGCAGTTGGTATTGTCAGATTTGTGGATTTTAGGATTCTAATAGGTGTTCATTGGTATCACACTGTTAAATACAATCTTTGGTAGAACATATTGTTTTTCTTGTTCTGAGATTTTACGCTGCCTTCCCCTTGGGCACTGACATCTGGGCTTTTGGTATCCTTTATGTAATAAGCTCCTTACTTCCTCCAGATTTCTTGGTGGAAAAAGAGCTAGCTGCAGCTTTGGATACAGCTTTAAGTGCATTGCTGATAAGGATGCTGCAACATTTCTCTGTAATGAAATGGGGTCTCTAAAGCTGGTACTTCCTTACTCACAGCCCTCTAACAGCATAGTATTGAAGGTGCAGTTCCAAATTTTTGCTGGCAATTGGCTGGCCTGAGCTATGATGCCCAGAGAACAAAGTTGCTCCAGGGAATAAGGTATGGTTTTCTCAAAACAGCTTCTGGGCCCTTTTCCATCCATCTCTGCCAGGATTTCAAAACTCTGTCTTGGCCCAAACTCATAGCACAATTCAGTTGCACCTGCCCATAGGGAGCTGGACAAATGCTTGGCCCTGAGGTGGTCTCTGGCGGCTCACCAGTTCTCTCATCATCTTTCCTTCTACTCAGCTGGCCACATCCACATGGCAGTTCTGGGTGACTCATACTACTACAGTTCATTCTTGATTCCTTACTTAAACAGGTTTTTACTGTAAAATAAAACAGGAAAAAAGTACACAAAGCAAATGTATAGAGTAGTGAATTATTATGAAGTCACACCTTTGTAACTACCATCCAGGTGAAGAAGTAGTACCTTGCCAGCCACTCCAGAAGTCCCTCCATGTCCATGATCCTGGTTTTTATAGTGCTGTGGTAATTTCCTCACACTCCTTTATTGCTTCATTATGCAAGTGTGCATCCTTACACCCTGTAGTTGAGACTTGCTCATTAAAAAATTATTGAATCATCTTTTAAAGCTCTTTTAATCTATAGATTCCTTCTTCATCCCTTTCTTTTCCTTATAATTTACCTGTTGAAGAACATGGACGATTTGACCTATAGAGCTTCCTTCAACTTGAATTTTGCCATGGCAGATTCACGGAGCATTTCAATATGTATTCTGTCCCCAGCGTTTCTTGAGAATAGTCACCTGGATCCAGAGGTTTGACTCAACTTAGGTCGGATCTCTTTTGCAGGACTATACCCAGTACTGAGTTCTTTTATCTGGAGATACAGAATGTCTGGTTGTGTCTCATTTTACAACATTAGCAGCTGTTGATTCTCATTGCCTAGATCAATTAATTCGTTAAGTGTTGAAAAACAGTGATAATATAATTCTATCATTTTATTTCCACTTATTAGTAGGAATAATTTTATGACATGCTTCCCTGATGTACTGTTTGGTACATAGTGGTACAATTTCTATTAAGAAAAGTAGGATGTTTGATTCTTTCCCTTTTTAAAATCAGTTTTCAGATGATGAATTGGTACCCTGACATCCTCCAAGGTGGCTAGTTTTTAAATGTCACTATGAATTTAACATTTAATTTAACATTAATTATTAATTAACATTAATTTATTATTTACATTAACTATTAACATTAACATTTTATTACATTTATTAACAATAATATATAGACGATAATTATTAAAATTATTAACATAAATTAACATTAATTTAAACATACTTCATGGGTTTTAATCATTAAATTTTTTTATTGTGCTAAAATATACATAAATTTACCATTTTAACCATTTTCAAGTATACAGTTCTGTGGCATTAAGTATCCATTGCATTTTTATACTTACTGAAGCTCAAATTGTCTCATCTGTTCCATTATTAAAAATCTTTAAATATTTCTTAGTCCAGAGCTTTTTGAATGAAATTAGGAGAGCTCTTCTACCACGTGTACTTTCCTCGGATGTCCCTACTTTCCAATCAGCAAAAGCAAACATGAGCCAAAGTGAGAAGTGAAACACCCCCCCTCGCAGATGCTGTCTGCAATGTCAGAAGCTATGACTCATGGTTAGCCCAGAGATTGTCGCCAGAGTCAGCAGGAGGAGACAGGCTCTGTAAGTTTGTGCCAGAGCTGAGGTTTTAAAATTAAAACAGCTTAAACTTTGATGATGTTTATAGCTGAGCTGAATTTCTTCTATCATGCGTGTATGCTTTATTGAAATTCATCACTGTATTTTTCATGTATGAAAATATTTGAGTTTCAAATACTTGGACATTATTTTACATTGGAAAATATATGCATATAGAGCTTTCCCTTTTGAACTTTAACCCAGACTTCAGCAGCTGAGCAGACAGCTGCAAATAACTTGCACAATACAGCAGAATGGACAAGTTGTCCTAACCTTTATCCATTTCTCTCCTTTTGAGTCAGTTGATTCCCTATTTTTATTTCCCCCATGTTCCTTCTGGGTCTACCCATTCAGTTGGACAAATACTTGGGAATCCAGCCAACAAGTATACAGGGAAGCATTATAAGTTTCTTTCTAAAGTCTAGAAGAAAAATTTCATAAAGAAATCAAAGTTCATATGTAAATGAATTTTAGAAAAGTGGGGACAACATCCCTAAGAGGCCAGGTATAACTGTGTTAGATATAAGGAAGCCCTGCATTGGGTACCATCCCAAAATAATTAAAAAATTATGATATTCCCAAGTTCCCTAGTGCTGTGATGCCACTGTTTTCACAAGTACTGGAGGGAAAAGCTTACTTGGAGTAATCATGACAGGAAATTGATGACATGTCAAGGACAATGGTATTTTCAAGTCTATTTTTTGAAAATAAAGAGTAAAAAAAAGGATTAATTTATTCATTTGACAAATATTTCTGAAGTGTCAATTAAATACAAGCCCTGTGCCAAGTGCTGGGAATATGGCTGTGAAAGGTCCCCATGGATCCAGTGGTTGAGAGGGAGAAGCCACTGATGTCAGTGACCGTGAAGGATCTGAAGTGGATAAAAGCAAATATGGTATATACATATATACAATGGAAAATTATTCATCTGTAAAAAAAAAAAGAAGGAAATCCTGCCATTTGTGACAACATGGGTGGACTTTGACACTATTACGCTAAGTGAGATAAATCAGACAGAGAAAGACAAATACCACATGATATTACTTACACGTAGAATCTTTAAAAAACCACCAAAAACCAAATTCATAGAAAAAGAGATCAGACTTGGGGTTACCAGAGGTAGTGAGTTGGGGGAGGAGAAACTGGATGAAGGTGGTTAAAAGGTACAAAATTATAGTCATAAGGTAAATAAGTACTGGGGATGTAATGTACAACATGATGTCTATAGCTAACACTTCTGTGTAGAATATTTGAAAGTTGCTAAGAGAGTAGATCCTGAAAGTTCTTATCATAGGGCAAAAAATTTTTTTGTAAGTATATGAGGTGATGTTAAGTAAACTTACTGTGGTAATCATTTCACAATATTTGTAAATCAAGTCATTATGCTGTACACCTTAAACTTACAAAGTGCTATATGTCAATCACATCTCAATATAACTGAAAAAAAATGGTGATGGGTCTGAGATTTTACCTTGTTAACTTGCCAGTTTTCTGGATACTAGCAGGAGACATGTGACTTCTGGGTCAAAGGCAAAGGATTTTATTTCTCATGGCACAGCAAGCAGCAGGAGCATGAGTGTATTTGCATCCATTCCCCTTGATCCCCAAGTCTGGTGACGGTGATGTGGATTAGCTCAGACAGATGCCTGTGCACACAGTGGATCATGTTATAGGAGTAAAACTCTTAAGTTAGGGAACTGGAATTTTTTACAATAGATGGTCAGCATGCTTGCCCTTTGCTCTGGAGGGAGATACCATCTCTATCTTCCAAACCTGTTAGCCATACCAACATCCAGGAAAAGACAGCCCAGAACAAGCCAAGCCCTGTCTAGATCAGCTAATTGGCAACCACTCTCAGACATGTGAATGAGCTTCAGCATGACCAGCAGGGTCGCCTAGCTGGCTTTCAGCTGATGCCAGACATGTGAGCATAAACACTGTTGTGTATCTTGTATATTGCAGAGATTCTGTGGTTCTTTGCTACACACCATTATTGTTGCAATAGACAACCAATATTATCACCAATGGCTTCATAAATCCGAAATCTAATTTATCTTTCCCATTGTAACCAGAGCTCTCCTTCTGAAATACAGATTTTATCAGACCACTTTCCTGTCTAAAAGCCTTCAACTACAGACTGCAACCCAGACATGGCATCCAAAATCCTTACTGGTCTGGTTCTCATTTTCATTTTCAACTTTACCCTTCTGCTCTCTTCCCTTCCATCCCCTTTCTTGCTTCTGGCATTCCACTACCATAGACCACACAACTTTCTCTGCACTTAAAAAACGAAAAAAAAATTCTTTAGAATACTTTTTAAGATTATAAAAGTTAGTTACTCATTTTAGTAAACTTGGGAAGTTCAGAAAAGTACAAAGGGCATTACCCAGGCAACTGAATACTTTGTATGGTCACTCCCATGTATATCTAGGTGAATAGCTATAAAATATTTCTTTAAAGAATATGCTAAGATATTATGAGTGGTTATCTCTAGGTGGGATTACGTTAGTTTTTCCTTAAGTTTTACTTTTTAATTTGTCTAAAATGAAATATGGATTACTTGTATATTTAATTAGGAAAAAATGGAGGATTGGTGTTTTCTTTTAGTTATTTTTATTGTATTTTCTTATACTTATTGTATGTACCTGTAGCCAAGAAACAAGTTTAGAACACAACAGGAAATAAGTTTAGAACATTGTTGGTTATGTTTTAATGGGTTCCAGACACCAGGCTACTTCATAATTACCCTCAAGTTGAAAAATCTTTAGCTCTTCCTTCACTCAGTCCTTGGGTGGCAGCCTTGGGTCAGGGAGCCCTGGATCTCTGTGCGAGGTTTTCAGGACTTCCACGTATGGCACCTGTTCAGAGATTACCAATTTGACTTGGGTCAAGCATAGTTCATTTGACAAGATTTTAGAATAATGACTTTGCACGCTAAGGGAGGAAGGATTTAAATATAAAGTGGTATGAATGCCAAAGGCTCAAATAGGATTTCCCATGTGAAGATTCTGATGTCCTTTTCTTCTAGAAACCACACTCTTTCTTACAGAGTTTCTGTATTATTTTATCTATTACCAAATGACAAATTATTCTAAAACTTAGTGGCTTAAAACAACAATAATCATTTATTATCTCTTATGGTTTCTGTGGGTCAGGGATTCAGACAGGGGACAGCATAGACAGCTTGTCTTTGGTCCGCAGTGTCTGGGCCTCAGCTGGGAAGATGCAGTGACTGGGAGCTAGGAGCACTGAAGGCTCACTCACTCATACATCTAGTGTCTGATGACGGCTGTCAGGCAGAACACTAACCCATTGCCTCTTCATATGGCCCACATAGCATGGTGGCTGAATTCGAAGAGCAAGTATCCAGAGACAGCACAGAGCAGAAGCTGTACCTTTTCATGACCTAGGCTTGGAGGTCACATTAGCATCATTTCCACCACACTCCACTGGTAGGGATCAATCACAAACTTCCACCCAGATTCCAGGGGAGGAAACAGAGACCCCACTCTTGGTGAGAAGGATGTCAATGGCACATCGAAAGAAGAGCATGTGGGCTGGGAGATGCATATTCATGCAGCCATGTTGGGGAAACACAATCTGTCACACTTCCCAAATTTCTATAGGAACTTTCTTGGATCTTGGATCTGTATTTGTATAAGAGAAATAAAAGTCCTAGAGGACTTTCTTCTCTTTCTTCTTTCCCTCCATCTGCACGTTTACCTCCTCCCTCTTTCCCTCTTATCCTTCTTTCCTTTCAGTTATGAATAGCCCAACCATCAGTGAGTTATTGTTTCATGGCATGAAATCTTGCAAGCAGGGTCATTTTGATGGTCTGCCTGGGGCTCCCTAAATAAATTAATTTTTGCTTTTATTTTACATTTTATTGTCCACATTGCCAGAAGAAGGCTTTTTCCAAATAGTCTTTTGTTATATATTATCCAATCATTTTCAAGAAAGAGCTTATAACATTAAAAACATTCAATTTGGGACAATGCTTTTATTTAACAAGCTTATTATGTGTCAGCAGACACATAATATTCCAAGCAGACTCTTTAAAAATATCAATTTGCTTAATCTTCATAACATTATTCTCAATTTATAGAGGAGAAAACTGAGGTACAGAGAAGTTAAGTAACTTGCCTGAGGTCACAAAACCATTACATGGCAGAGCCAGATATCAAACTTGGCATCTGGCTCCCAAATTTGTGTCCCTGACCACCGTGTTATGCTGCCTCTCTATCATTGCTCTACTCCATCGCCCCTTATTCACTTGAGCAGTAAGGAATAGATAGCCCCTAGAAAAAACATCAACTCTCAGATATACAAAATAATTGGAGGCTAAGGAAATATGCCTGGATGCAGGGGACAGGCCTGGGATGCAGGGGATTGTAGGAGCCCCAATCCTGACCCTGCCCCGCAGAGCAGGTTCACAAGGAGCCATTCCCCTCCCCACTGAGGCTGCCCTCTGGCCAGCCTTACCACTTCTCACAGTTCTCGGCCCCAGACTGACTGACTGGGATGAGGGAGATTAGTTTGCTAGATCTAATATGGTGAAATATTCAAGAAGTTCAAAGCATTTTGTTAATATTTTGTAATATTTTTCTCATAGTACTTTTGTAATGGAGTACTGTTGCCTCCGTATTGCGGTTAGAGAGAGACAAAAAGATGTAGAGTGACTTACCCACATCACAGTCAAAGGAGTTCTGAGGAGTGAACAAAATTCTACAGACATCAGGCCTCTGACTTTGACCACTTCAAAGTAATCTCCCTCGAACAGCCTCTCCCAACAATATCAGGTTTCCTCAGCTGAGTATTTAGGAGGCTGCTGGCAAGTCTAATCACCTGGGACATCTTAATAACTGAAGTCATGTTTGATGGAAAAAGTCATAAAGAAGCTGTGGGTGATTGAGGGGATTTTGTCAGAAGTCTGGCTCCAAATACGTGTGATGCCACATATTTGGAATTCTGAGATGAGAATGCAGAAATATTTCAACAAAAGCATCAGAGAGGTTTATCTGATTCTTTTAATATAGTGTTTTCAAAGGAGAAGTATGTTTTCTCAACAAGAAACAAGTTCCCCGATGAGCTGAAAAGAAATATTTATTCAAAATAGTAAATGAAGTATTTGTTATTGGTACAAACAATAACATAAAATGAATCCTCAGGCAGACTTCCAGGAAGCCAGGGGCAAAGGGGAGAAAGGAAAGAACAAAAAAAGAGAGAGAAGTCTTAGAAAAATATGCAGTTTTGTCTTGAACATTTGCCAGGGAAAGCAGGGTAATGAAGGATTAAAAATAAAACAAAACAAAAAGGAAGTAAGGGTAAGGAAAGTGCTACAAGGAATAAATTGCTGGCCACATTGTCAATATGGATGAAAAGATCAAATCTTGTAGGAGGGGGCTGGGCATGGGGGCTGCAGGCTGAGGTGAAACTCAGGGGGAAGAAATAACAGGAAATAAATGAGCTGAGGGGAAAAGATGAATAAAGAGCAAGTCTAGAAAGAGGAAAGGAAGCATATTTAACAGGAAACCAACCAAAAGAGACATGCTTAGTGTCATTTGAAGAGAAAGGGGAAGAACAGACCATGAATACTATGGAAGCCAAGGAATTTGAATAGAGGTGATTTTAAATATTAAAAATGGAGGCCTTTCAAGTTACCTGCAAATTCTGTCTATGAATTATAGAGGATGGAAGCTCTGGATGTTGTTACAGGAATGATTGGCTCCTACAATCTTCCATCCCCGAAATCAGCTGCCTTTCTTTTTCTTTTTTTTATTGAGGAAAAACCCAAAGTTAAATATGGACCCAAAGAAATGACCAGGATAAGCATCTTTAATACATTTTAGACAAACATAAATCTGTGAGGAATTGACAGGACAAAGAAAACAGGTTTGGGAGCTTCAATTAGTAAGAAATTCTAAAAGCATTTGGGCTGGGATAGCAAAATTAATTTTTTGTTTTTTTTAAATTTTTTATTAAGGTATGATTGATATATACACTCTTATGAAGGTTTCACATGAAAGAACAATGTGGTTACTACATTTACCCATATTATCAAGTCCCCACCCATGCCCCAATGCAGTCACTGTCCATCAGTGCAGCAAGTTGCCAGAGATCCACTATGTGCCTTCTCTGTGCTACACTGTTCTCCCCATGATACCCCACACCGTGTGTACTAAACATAATACCCCTCAGTCCCCTTCTCCCTCCCTCCCCACCCACCCTCCCACACCCCTCCCCTTTGGTAACCACTAGTTCATTCTTGGAGTGTCTGAGTCTGCTGCCATTTGGTTCCTTCAGTTTTGCTTCATTGTTATACTCCACAAATGAGGGAAATCATTAGGCATTTGTCTTTCTCTGCCTGGCTTAATTCACTGAGCACAATGTCCTCCAGCTCCATCCATGTTGTTGCAAATGGTAGGATTTGTTTCTTTCTTATGGCTGAATAGTATTCCATTGTATATATGTACCACATCTTCTTTATCCATTCATCTACAGATGGACACTTAGGTTGCTTCCAGATCTTGGCTATTGTAAAAAGTGCTGCAATAAACATAGGAGTGCATATGTCTTTTTGAATCTGAGAAGTTGTATTCTTTGGGTATATTCCAAGGAGTGGGATTCCAGGGTCAAATGCTATTTCTATTTTTAGTTTTTTGAGGAACCTCCATATTGCTTTCCACAATGGTTGAGCTAGCTTACATTCCTACCAGCAGTGTAGGAGGGTCCCTTTCTCTGCATCCTCGCCAGCATTTGTTGTTCTTAGTCTTTTTGATGCTGGCCATCCTTACTGGTGTGAAGTGATATCTCATTGTGGTTTTAATTTGCATTTCCCTGATGATTAGTGATGTGGAGCATCATGTGTCTGTTGGCCATCTGAATTTCTTTGGAGAACTGTCTCTTCATATCCTCTGCCCATTTGTTAATCAGGTTATTTGCTTTTTGGGTGTTGAGGTGTGTAAGTTCTTTATATGGATGTTAACCCCTTGTCAGATGTCATTTACAAATATATTCTCCCATACTGTAGGATGCCTTTTTGTTTTATGGATGATGTCCTTTGAAATCAGCTGCCTTTCAAGGCCAGTGGGCAGGAGCCAGATTGCCATTTTTTAAGTGCTCCAAAGGCTTAGGTCAGCATGGTGGTGGATGAGGGGATGCTTGAGGCCATGAAGAGGGCATTGGGATGGATGGGTGGGCTGGTTGGCAAGAACCCCTGACCACCTAGCAGCAAACCCACATAGGGGGCCAGGTCTTGCCTGGGCTCAGAGAACTTTACCCGCTATTGCTAGGGCTGCTGCCCATCTATTGGAGCAGCCTTCCTTAAACTTCGGACAACTTCTGGCTTTAGGTGGGACTATCTTATGAGCCCTAGTGCCATATGTTGGAACCCAGAAACAGGGCATCCTTGCTCTTTCTGTTATCTTGACCTTGGGCTTTTTGTTTCCCTAATTGGAAGCTATTGTTCAACTTGTGGCCTTCTCCTGGTCTTGGATTTGTTCTCTGTATTTAAGGCCCTGCCTTGGACACCTGTTTGGTTCCTAGAACCCTCTAAAGCTGGGGGCCCTGACTTAGTCTTTGTAGTCTCCCTCACAGAATCCAGAGTTGTATCCAAACCCCTTCTCGGTGATTGGCCCCAACTACTGGAGACAGATAGCTCTGCTACCCACTGACTGTCTTCTTGGCTCTGTAAGCATCACCTATGCCTGGATTCCCCTCATATGCTCTGCATACCTTTAGGGACATTTTGTTCACTCAGGTTTGTCCTTCCTAATGCAGCCTAGATCACACAGTCAGCTGGGCTCTGCCCCAGCAGTCAGATGTCATAGGCTGTCTGCTATACTGGACTGCTCTCACC